TCATAGCTACACATCCTTCTAGTTGCTGTATGTGGGACGTGGCCTCAGCATGGCCTGAGAAGCGGTGCATCGGTGTGCGCCCGGGATCCGAACCTGGGCTGCCAGCAGCGGAGTGTATGCACTTATCTGCTAAGCCACGGGGCCAGCCCCAGAAATTCCTTACTTCTGATTTAGCTTACCAGCTAAATTACATCAGGAGGCGGTTGCATTGAAAAATTATTTTTTAAAATGTAAATACACATAGGTGGATATTTTGAGATGTGAGCATACTTTGGTGAGATAAATCTAGATTCCACATTAAAAAGTGAGACCAGAACTTCCAAACAAATGTGACAAGAAAGTGTTCTGGGCATGATGAGCTATTGATCCCTTAGCCTCGAGAGATGGCTGGAGCCCCTTCAATCTACTAGCAAAGTTCATTCACCCTGGTGTGCCATACTAATATTATACTTTTCTATGTGTGCTATGATATGAAAAATGTTGGAGGCACAGAGGTAGGACATGACCCTATGGTAATGCAACTCCAGTGGGGCATCCTGTATACTTATCTTAACACATCCCATTGTATTCACTATATTACTATATTACAAATAACTGCTAAATTACATTTTTGATGAAATTATCAACTTTTCCTCACAAATAATGTGAAAAACTGCTTTCATAATCTACCTACTTAAAAAAATTTTAAAAATTGTGGTAAAATACACATAATATAAAATTTACCACCTTAACCATTTTTAAGTGTACGGTTCAGTGGCATTAAGTACATTCACATTGTTGTGCTACCATCACCACCATCCATCCACAGAACTCTTCTCATCTTGCATAAGTGAAACTGCACCCATTAAACACTAACTCCCCATTCCTCCGAGTCCTTGGCAACTGCTGTTCTACTTTGTGCCTCTATAAATTTGACTACTCTAGGTGTGTCCTATCTACTTGTATTTCCCTTTTGTCCTCAGGGAAGGTGTTAATGAGTGGTGAAATGACTAAAGTTAGACATAAGAATGTAGTAAGAAAGGAATAAAGTCTAGATATAGAAAATACACATTAGACATCTTATTCTCAAATAATGAGAAGGAGCATAAGTTAGAAAATATTTTGTGAATATTGTACTTTCTCTGCCCTTGGAATTTCTCAGTCTCTAACCCTCATTGTCACCTGTCAAAACCCTAGACATTCTTCAAGGTCAACCTCAAATACTTTCTTTTTCCTGGAGCCCATCAACATCACAGTATCTATTCTTTCTTTGAAGTTCCACAGCAGTTTGTATTTCCTTTAAAGCAGTCCATCCAATTTCTCCTTATACTATTATTATTTACTTATCCTTGATCCTGGAGAAGAAGCATCTTTAAAGCTGACTCTGTATCTTAATGAAAAGATATTATATAATGTTTAGCACAGGTCCTTGCATGTAGTCACTGCACACTCGTTGAATTGATTATACTTATTTGAAAAATTTTCTTTCTTCCAGATGACCACATGTAGTCTTCTAAATCACTTCTAGGGAATCATGTGGTTCACATAACCATTTATGTATTAATTACATAAACTAATTTACCCACCCAACATATGCTAGCTGTGAGATAACCAGTATAGGCCAAGACCTGGACCCTGCCATAAACTCAGAGTAATTCAGATACTTCACACACTGCGTGCTGGTGCTGCACATTCTTATTATGTTCTCTACCCTACTTGCAGCCTAAGGCTCTTTAGGCTTGTTTTAATGTTTACAATCTACTTGGAGAAAAGACTACGAGCAGTGCTGTGTTTTTTTTTTTTTTTTTTTTTTGGTGAGGAAGCTCAGCCCTGAACTAACATCCATGCCAATCCTCCTCTTTTTGCTGGGGAAGACTGGCCCTGGGCTAACATCTGTGCCCATCTTCCTCCACTTTATATGGGACTCCGCCACAGCATGGCCTGACAAGCTGTGCCGCAGTGTGCACCCGGGATCCGAACCCAGGCCGCCAGCAGCGGAGCGTGCACACTTAACCGCTATGCTACGGGGCCGGCCCCAGAACGGCGCTGTTAATATCTGCATTTTAAAGAAAGTATTGAGAAAATAGTGACAATAAGATGAATCCTGAGTATAAATGGTATTTTGGAAAAGGATGACAGTAGAAAAACTAGCAAAAGATAGTCCCATGCTGCTCTGGAAGGAACGAGGAAAGTTGCTCCAAAGAGGATTAGAATAGCTCCAGTTTTTTCTAGGAAGGAGACGGGTAGGCTAGAAAATAGGGCTAGCACAGCTAAAAGCTACCCTGAGAGAGAAAGTAGATGATTAGTGGGAATACCGGGTGTTTCTGAATGGAAGAGACTGAGTGGTGCTGCTTGTTGCAGAAGCAGCACTAACCATAGTCTTGGGAGTTCTTGCTTTCCTTCTCCCTATAATTTAGTTTAACAGGAAAGTTCCCCACCAAGGTTAGAGTTTTAACAGGTAAGAAGACAACTAAACTGGGGAGACAAATAACTGTTTTTTTCCCCTAAATCCTCAGTTAGCAGATATTTATTGAGTTTCTGCTCTGTTCATGTGCTGTGCAATGCAATGGGAACACAGCTTCTGTCCTGAAAGCACTTACATTCTGTGGTTCAACCTGTCTTTGTCAGTGCCTTAAATGCCTGAAAAACAACTCTGCCACATCTGTGACTTCAATGGTCAGAGCTTGTCTATAAAATGCACCTTTTGGGATGGTCTTCATATATCAATATCACACAAGCACTGCAAAATGTTCATATGAATATAAAGGCACGTAAAGAGAAATATCTCAAGCGCTTATTTCTCCTTGTCCTCTACATCACAGCTCTACCTCTACCCCACTGCCCAGTTAATAGTAGTTTTGTGTGTTTTCCTCGTATTTTCAATGCATACACAAACATGCATCCATCCTTCCCTCCAGCATTGAATTTAATATCAGGGAAAAATACCAACAGCAAATAATTTCAGCCAAAGGATCTGGAAGTAAACTAGAAATGTTTCCATTTTAGCTATAAAATCATAAGATTATAAAATGATTAGATCTTATTTTCAAATATTTGCATCATAAATTCCTTATTAACAAGATCTGGGGTACCAGAGAAATCTTACTGTCACTTCTGTACTGGTTACAGTCAGGATTTCAGGATATCAGAATCAGGTTACCCAGCTAAAGTCAGAAATGTAGACGGTCAGGGTCAGACGGAATAGTTCATTGCTTGGAACAGAGAAGGGTCAGAAAAGCAGATCAGATAGTGTGACAGGCTTTAAGTATTTGGCTGTATCTTGTGGCTTTCATCTGAGCCTACTTTTTCTATTAACATCTATGTGTTCAGTCTGCTCTCTCCCTGTAGATTATAATACAATAGACATATCATAGTGTCTGTCATAATCTCAGACCACCTTCTGAGAAAAGCTTGCCCAGCCATGGTCCTTCCGAACAAACAGCCCTAGGTAACTTTACTTGGTACCATGAGAACCCTGTTCACCAGCAAGGGCAGCCATTCAGAAGACCGGCTAATAGCCTTAACAAGCAATATCACCCAACAAGGATGAACTGAGCCAATTAGATTCTTGCTTTTGGAAAATACAGGGACAACTAGGTTATAAGAGAGTAGGTGCCAGAAGGATGCATGGAAATATGTCTCAAGAAAAGTGGCTGGGAGCAAGATGATGAGGAAGTGGAAACTATGAGTAAGCAGAAAAGAGAAGAGAAACAAAGAGAAGCTGATGCACCACTAGAGGAAAAGATCCATGGACTCAGCTGCAGAAATCTAAATCCTTGTATCCAGGCTGGTCAATCCAGGCTTCGTGTTTTCTCCATTCTGTCAGCTCAGTCTCCAGTACTGCCACATGGATCCTTATAATAACTATCCTTTATTTCATCTAGATTGTAACTCTGTGTCATTTTTTTTTTTAAAAGATTTTATTTATTTATTTTTGATCCCCCCAAAGCCCCAGTAGATAGTTGTATGTCATAGTTGCACATCCTTCTAGTTGCTTTATGTGGGACGCGGCCTCAGCATGGCCGGAGAAGCGGTGTGTTGGTGCGCGCCCGGGATCCGAACCCGGGCCGCCAGCAGCGGAGCGCGCGCACTTAACCGATAAGCCACGGGGCCGGCCCTCTGTGTCATTTTTTTAAAAAAAGGAAGTCGAACTATGTAATCATCAAGCAATCTCTTACATTTCATTGATCTTGAGTAGCATTATCTAAATGTATAATGAAATCGCTTGGATCAGAAGCTCCCATATTTCACTGATTATTATAATCATTTAGAGAGTTTAAAAAAATTAAGATTCTGGGGACTCACTGAATCGGAATATCATAGAGAATATCTGGTTTTGAGTCTCTATGTTCAGATGGTAAAAACTATGTTTCTTCTGCGAAATGAAAGCATAGATGGGAAACCATGTTGAAGTAAAATGAAATATTCAATAATGTTCCCATTTGATTCTGTTGCTTTTTTATTCTTATTTGTTAAAACATCATTTTGAATATTTCCTAATTTATTTTCTCTACTTTTAATCCAGATTTTTCTAATTTCTTGTTCTTTGACTAATTTCTGTGCATATATATTTCTACCTAATAATGCATTTCAGTTATGTTAATGATTGGTTTTTTACTTTATGAGGACACTCAGAGCAAAATATACTATTTTACAAATAAGTGGAGGCAGATGATATTTTGCATCCTTTTTATTCTTATGTAAATTAAAAAATTATACAAAATGTCTTTCTGATTCCTCCATAATTAGGGAGATTGGAATGGAGGACGTAAGTGTTAGATTAAAGCTAATTTCTGGGCAAGTCCAATATGTTAACTGGAAATATAAAACCCTGTTACCAGCTGTAAGATTGTAATATATACATTTAGAAAAGGGATTAATACAGATCTTTCAAGGCCCTTTCATGAAATTATAAAAATTAGTTTAAAACCAATATGAATGAGAGGAGAGAAATTTAAGTAAAATATATTTAGTGAAAATCAGAGATATTAAAATTCTAAGTTAATTTTTATTGTACTTACAAAGAGTGTTGGTTTCGGTATAAATATATTGTCTTCATGATCTCTAGGCACATTTGAAGTCTTTGATTTCTGATTTTCTGTCGCATTTTTTGATTCCATCTTAGTAAGAAGTAACCTGTCCTCAGAACGCTTACTACGCATATTAGTGAGAATCTGTTTCATTGCTGCCAATTCCTGTTGATGTATGAAAATAGAAGAAAATGGCAAGTACAATTTTAGCAAGCAGACTAATAATGATTGATGTTAAAACATTTATTCTTATTCTTAAAGTGGAAGAAATATTTGAAGCAATTACTCTATACGAATGAGGAAAATTGTGAAAACAACATATATGAACAACAACTAACAACCATAATGACGCACATGAATCTCATAGTCATTAATACTTTTAGTATGATAAATGATAAATGTATCATTCCATAGTCTAGTGGTTCCCCCCAATTTTTCTGCACACTGGAATCACCTGCGGAGCTTCAAAAACTACTGACGCCTGTGTCCCATTCCCAGGGGTTGTGAGATAACGGGGCTGAGATGTGGCCTTGGCCCTAGAATTTTTTAAAGATCTCCAGGTGATCCTAATGGACAGACGAATTTGGGAACAACTGGCATAGCTACTTTCCCCTGCAGTTTTTCTACACATTTTTGTTGAGTAGGTTATTTAGGCACTTAACTTTTTCTCTTCTACTCTTAAACTTCTCATTTCCAATGGTAGGGAAAAAGAGTCCAAAATTTTTTTCTTGCCTACTAATCAGCCGTTCAAACAGTAAGTTTAATATAGCTTCAGGATTTCTTCAACCACATTATTCCTTATTCTTTTACAAATGAAAACTGGAGTTGGCTTTATCAGTTGCCATTTGAACTAAGAATTAATTATGCTGAACTTCTTAAAGAACTCGACCAAAATTTTCACTTGTTCCCTCTTCCAAGTCTATTTTGTCTTTTATTTTTCCCCATAGTCAAACCTTTAGCATCTAACTAATTAGTGGATATTTATGACTAATCACTAAATTGATTTAATCAAATACAAGTATATGGAGAGAGGACAGACTAAACTCTCCTTTACCTTATTATCTGTAGAACACTGGTAGGCAGTGTTGGAGATAATTTTTTCCTGTTATTTTATTTCATCTTCACGCCAAGACACAAAAGTTATGACGATAGAAAGATGTTCTGCTCCTTTCTACTAATCTGTTTATAGACATAAGCTCTGTGTCAGAGCAAGTTCCTACAGGCCTTTTTTTTCTGGCTGTCATTAGTTCTATTTAGAACCATCTAGCTTGAGTGGGTATTTTAAAACAGAGCTATTGAGTTTAAGCCACAGAGCCTTAATAAATCTTAGGGCCAAGAGAGTAGCTGGAAGAAATGGTGCCAGAATCTTCTTTCTCCCTTCTGTAGTACAGGGGTTGGCTTGGCCAATGCACATGAGAATGTGTACACCTTCAGACACTGTCAATCTGATATATTATTATTTGAGCCTTTTGAGGGCTCTTTTTGCTAAATTATGTTATTTCATTTATATGGTCCCCTATAGTGAAGTATATAATCATTGATTTAATGTTAAACATGTCTGGTGTTATGGTATATTTCAGCTCCTGGTCTACTTAACCACGAGAAGTAGAAGGGAAAGAGGAGATGATGGTCTTTCAGCCTATCAAAAGAAAACTTTCTACTGAAAGAACCTCTTTTTACTAGCCATTTGTATCTTTGCATGAAGATAAAATAAGAGGAAAAAATTATCTCTAACACAACCTACCACTATTTTACAGATAAATAAGGTAAATGAGATCACACTTGCTGGGGGAAGGACAGAGGAGAGGACACTGAGGATGAGGACAGAGAAACAGAAGGAGTTTCAGGTGTACTAGGCAGAGGGCTTTGGTTCCTAGGTGCCCCAGAAGAGGCCATAATACTGTTTCTTTTTGGCTTCCCTCTGCTGCTGGTATAGGAGCAGTTATAGGAGACAGATCATCCCCGATGCTGGTCAGGAGACAGAAGGAAAATTCACGTCTTTGCTTTATCCAGGCTAGGATCACCCCAACTTAGGGTGTTGTCACAGTACGACTTTTGTTCTTCTGATAGCATTAAACAATGTTAGCATGGTGTCTGAAATCCAGACAAAGAACACTTTAAAAGCAACAAAATTCTGTAAAATTCCTATTAGGATAATATAGCTACAATGGATACCAAGATAATATGTAGAAAAATTTTGTTCAGTTTTATCATGTTGGATCATATAGATGATCCCTTTTATATCAATGGTAAATCTGAACAAAGAAAATTCCATTTTAACATCAAATAGTATCCACAATACCATCATATACTGAACACACAAAAAGTTCAAGCACAAGTAGCGGAAATATTTTAGTATTAGGTTAGAAGTCAAAGATACATCTATTCCTAACTCTATTATTAATTGTGTAAACTTAAGCAATCTACTCTGGTTCAATGAGCTTCAGTTTCTTTTTTGTTGTTGTTGTTTTTTTGTGAGGAAGGTCAGCCCTGAGCTAACATCCGTGCTAATCCTCCTCTTTTTGCTGAGGAAGACCGGCTCTGAGCTAACATCTATTGCCAATCCTTCCTTTTTTTCCCCCCACAGCCCCAGTAGATAGTTGTATGTCATAGTTGCACATCCTTCTAGTTGCTGTATGTGGGACGTGGCCTCAGCATGGCCAGAGAAGCGGTGCGTCAGTGCGCGCCCGGGATCCGAACCCGGGCCGCCAAATCCGAACCTGGGCCGCCAGTAGTGGAGCGCGCGCACTTAACCGCTAAGCCACAGGGCCGGCCCGAGCTTCAGTTTCCTAATCAATAAAATGTATGCTTGTGCTACTTTTTGGATTTTTGCCAGTCTGATAAATGTTTGGGTATGTTTATTTTGCTTTTTTTCTATTGTGAGGTTGAGTAGCTTGTCATATATTTAAGGGTATTTCCTTTTCTGTTGATATCCTTGGCCCATTTTTCCACTAGGTGATTGGTCATTTTCTTATCTATTTGAAGGAGCTCGTTATATGTTAAAGATTTTAGCCCTTTGTAATATGAGTGGCAGTTTATTTCCCTTGTTTATCTTTTATTTGACTTTGTTTACCCTTTTTTTGTTTTGTTTTTTTGCTCTGCAGAACTTTCTCATTCTGACGTAGCGGAATATATCAATCTTTAATTTTATGGACTTTTCCATGTTTTTCTTCCTTCATTTTCTTCAAGTTACTTTTATGATTTCTTTTTCTTTTCTTTTTCCAACATTTAGATCTTTGATCTGTTTGAAGTTTATCCTGGCTTATGGTGAAAGGCGTGGATTCAGCATTTTTCCCCCTATGGATACTCTGTAATAACAACATTATGTAGTGAAGAGATGATTTTTTCCTCACTGATTTGAGATGCTCTCTTTATCACATACTATACTTCCATAAGTATAAGATTTCTGGACTTTTAAACTCTACTCCAGTGGTTTGTATATTCATGCACCTATGTCACACTGTTTTAATGTTTAATAACTGAGGTATTTTTTCAGCTATAGTCTTAGGTATAGGGGTGGGATTATGTTGCATTAAAAAAAAACAAAGAACTGGCTTTTTAAGATGTTGAGTCTTCCTAATCATGAAAATATTTTAATATATTTTCACCTACATTTTTGGCATAAATTGTCATGCCCTAATTGGTGTTACTATTACAATGAAATAAATTGTCATGATTCACAAGATCTCAATTCACAAACTGACAAAACAAACAAAAACAAACCAACATAAAATATAAGAGCTAGAAAACATATTTGTCACTACAAAATGGAATCCTTTGGTAAGATGAAGTCATCTTGAAATCTGGTTTGTTCCTCACCTGGTTTGGTTCTTACCATGTTCTTGTCTGGCTCCTGACTGCTGGCTCCATCTCCTATTTAAGATTCTGCTGTTCCTGTTTGGACTTGATTTTTGCATTTTATTTCCCTAGCTTTTGATTCTGCTTTCCTCTGTTCTATAACTTCCTGTTCTGATTGGTTAGTAGGGTTATTTGTACTACTGTTTAATGATTTATAAAATACTGTTCACTGCAGAGCAGAGTGTGATTAGATCCACAGAAAAGGAATCTCTGATGTTTAAAGGAGAATGTTTCAAGTATCAAGTTCAACTGATTCTCTTTCTTACATTGCATCTATTGCTCAAAATAATGCCATTTACTTAGGTTCCTATTTGGACCTTGACTTTCTTAGAGATTTTCCCCCTCCTCTTAGAGTTCCTGCTTTTAATTTTCACATTTATGGAAACAATATATGCTTTTTTTCATATTACCTAAGATTATCTAGCTTTTTAATCATGCTGTTTGCTGGGATCAATTTTGTACTGACTTTTTAAGACTGATGCAGTTGTTATTCTGAAATTTCTTTTTATTGCACATTTTGGCAAGTTCCACTATTTCTTATCTCTCTCTCTCTCTCTTTTTGTTACTTGATGGCATACAATCTAGTAATTGCCTGAGAGAGGGCATTGTGGAAGAAAGTTCTGAAGTATTTCCTTCAGAACTTTGATAGTATTACTTCTGTTTTCTAAAGTCAAATTTCCGAGAACTATGATGCCAAACTGATTCTTATTTCTTTGTAGGTATTTTCTTTCTCTCTGGAATCTTCTATATTGTTTAGCTTTTCTCTGTTAATTTCCATCTTTTTACCTTTTTCTAAGTTTTAAGAGAGTTCGTTGGCTTTTCCTCGCATCCTTCTACTAGCATTTTTATTTCTAATAACTTCATGATTTTGACATTAGCAACTTCTGAGAGTATCACAAACTTTTTTTTGTTCACTGTTTCTTATTTTATGGAAATACAACTTCTCAAATCTTTCAGAAGAAACTAATTACAATATTTTGTCTGTACTTTTCTGCTGAATTTTTTTTCTCTGGAGAAGGGGGTCAGTTTCTCTGTTCATTGTGATTTTTTTCCCTTTTGTGCTATTAATTTTCTTCCAGTTTCTGATGGTCTTTGGTGTGTGTTCCAATTTATGAAGGAAGGACCAGATTAAATGTTTTCTTTCTGCTGTTACGAGCCATTCATCTGAATGAGACAGCTGAGTACAGTCTCTGTGTATGTGGACAGGAAAATCTGTCTAGCAGGCTTCACTCTAGGGTCCTGAGGCAGAAAGTAGGCTCTCTTCTCCAAAAACAGAATGTGGAGTGTCCTAATCTGGGGCCCCTTCA